TTTGCTATATACTTATGGCCTTATTCATTAAAAATAAAGTGGAATAAAGAGCTTTATAAAATGACGTTCTCATACATTTTTCAGTTTATAAACATTTTTAAAATCTACTTTATTTTTCATAAATAAGGGCATTAGACAGCATGTAAGAGGACAATTTATATCAATTTCTTTTTACATAGAAACTATCGGTATGGAATTGGCCAAGCGTTTACTAGCCCAAACCAAAAGTGCTATAGCTATTGAGATGTTTGTATATCAGCGAGAATAGATGGTTACCAGTACTAAGTTTTACGGAGCTAGTTAAGAGTTAGTACCGTCCCATGGCGGAATTATACCCGGTAAAGTAATTAGAGCGGGATGAAAGATTTTGACACTGCCTTATTTGAAAAATTGCCTTTAAATAGTTTGTTCCAGTATCCTTCGTGCAAAAACCTGTGGAACTGTCAAACTACAATGTTACTCTCTCAAGTGAGAGTAAAAGGGGAACAGTTACAGAAGTGTACGGGAACGCAAAAAGCACTATTTCCTGCACAAACGTCAGTCGGTTTGTTTACATGTCATTGGTAGAACACTGATTTGGCTGAAAATCAGTAAATAATTATTAAAAACTATACAATTAGAATAATTGCGTACATATTCAAATATTTCGTTGTTTACTTCCATCTTTGATCGCACCGCGTTCTGTGTTTGTTTACAAATGCAACCCTGCCTATCGTTTGACACTTTTCATGAACTTGCAGGAAGAAAAACTACGGGCAAAATCCTGTAACTTCTGACTGGGAAGAGTTGCTCTCTTACTCGCTCAAAAGTGTTCCCAGTGAGAGAAATTCTTGCGTACGGGAACGACTTCCTGTAATTTCATACTATTTCTTACTATGTCCTAGTGTACTGGAACAAACAAAAAAATTGACTATAAGGCAGCCGAATGTCAGAAAATAAAGCAAGAAAGCCTTTTTATTACTTCACCTGTTTATTGCGCCAAGGTACCGTCCCATGATTCAAAAATACAAGGTTCGATAAACTGACAGTTGTCTCTCCTGCACCGCTCCCTTAGCAGTGGCACCGTGTTGCTTCTTTGCAAATTTACTTGGAAAAAGTGTAGCTTTGGTGTGAAATAGAAGTATAAGCCATTGTGCAATATGTTTATTTGTATATGCATATGAAGCACATTTACCGGATGAAAACATAAACTTTTTTAAATTGGATGTTTACATAAAACTGGCAGTAGTTTTATATTAACTTTGAGCCCTTTTGCAGTTTTTATACAGCTAAATAGCACATAAATTAAGTAATTCCGTAGATATATTAATATTTCGTTTAAAATGCCAGATTTCCTGCAAATACATTGGAATTTCACTACTAATTGCCTACTTTGCGTACTTTTCTACTACCAATTTCGCACCAATGGATTTAATTCTTCGTCTTTCTCCGTCCTTCGTAAATGCAACCTTTTGTAAGGGAGTGTCAAACGGCGGCTGTAAATAATTGTCTAACCTTGTCAAGAATGATAGAATACAAGATTGCGCCGTCCTGGCCGTTGACATTTGTTTACCGCAAGTAAACAAAGAATAGAGCGAAAAGAAAAACGAGTTGAAACTGCAAAAACAGTTCACCTTACAGCGAAAAACATGTTTTAATTTTGCTAAATGTGAAAATATTGCATTTTTCACCTAATCTATTAGAGAATAGTGAACGTTTTAGTGAACTCCATTGCTTTGCAATTAAGGCTGCTGCAGCAATCTGCGGCAGCATCTCAGCGGGATTGATTAGTTAACTTGCTAAAGGAGGCCGCTTGGAGCAGCAGCGAAATCATTGTGATGAAATGCTGTCAATATAATAATAAAGAAACATTTCGGGAACACCTTTGCCGCGCCCTATATACAAAAAATTCAACGATTCGTCGCAGTGCTACACTTGCATCTACGCATCTTGACGGCTGTCGCAATTTAACGCACGGCACTCCATTTTATTAGTTTTCACGCAGTCGTCAACTCAAAACTCACTCACAAATTGCAAAATAAACAATTCAAACTGATATTTCACTTATAATTCAAATTATCTATTTCCCGCTGATTTGTAAACAAAGGTTTATTTACAAGTTGCCACAACTGTCAAAATCGGCAAAACCAAAGTAGCGGTACCACTGACGGCGCCACCTTTGTTTGCTGCATCGTGTAACCTTGTATTATTGAATCATCCCTACGGGACAACTGAGTGATCACTGATGAATCATCTGAGTATCAGCCTTGGAGTATTAACCTCTCAGATTATCCATCAGGTTTCTGCAGTGGTTTTGAAAAATCTGATGGATACTTTCCTGTAGGTGTGATTTTGCCTCTCATTTTAACATGTGGGTTTTAGCCATATTTGTAAATATTAGCAACATATGTTTGCACTACTCACTCGCCTTATTTAATCAACTCAGCTCGTATGGAAACACTCCTCAGATCTTACCAATAAGAGCTGATGGAAAATTTTGTCAGGTTTTAACCATCAAACTGATTCAATAGTCACTAAGATCTGATGACTCAGTCTGATGTATAAATCAGTCAGATCTGATCAATCAAAGCTGATGTAAATAATAGTCACGTCTGGTTAATCAAATTTATGTATAAATCATTCCATTTATTGTGCGTAATTTTATATGAATTTTTAGTTTTTCTTGA